AGAATTCAGCCTCTGGTAAGGCTCCTCAATCGTCGACGGTCGTGGGTTCTGGTCCCCACGTTGTGTTGCCGTCGCATCTTCTTCTTCACCCATCAGACAGCCCGAGCAATCTGTTCGCCGGCGAGCTGCTCTCGGATGGAAATTACGGTGAGTGGGTGGTCGACATCACCGACTCGCTGATTGCCAAAAATAAAATGTGTTTTGTTGATGGCAGCTTGCCTCCGGCCACTTCTCCAGCCGAAAGGGAGGCGCTGCTTCGGTGCAATGCCATGGTGAAGGGATGGTTAAAGACCTCCATGACATGGGAAGTTCGGAGCAGTGTCCGATTCGCATCTACCGCGCGAGAGATATGGGTAGATCTTTGATAGACCGATAATTACACATATTTTCACCCCTATTCTTGAGCCGTTTGAGATCTTGATTCTCGTATTTTAAGCCGATTTCACGCGAGGTTGTGCGTTTATGTCATATTTCAGGACCCGACGTTGGAATCAAGGCGAAGGAACGAGATTCGGGTCGAAAGGAGCAAGTGAGGCTTGAAGTGTGTTGGAGGAAGAAAATACCCGGCCATGACCAGAAATACCCGGCCGGGTATTATTTTGAGGAGACCGGGTATTTGCTGTTTTGGGCGTCTGAGAAACAGAGAGGGTCCCGGTCGTGAAGCTTAAATCCCCGGTCGGGGATTATTGGACATGACCGGGGATTTTTCCCTGAAGCAAAACGCGCGTTTTAATAATACCCGGTCGAGACCCAAAATACCCGACCGGGTATCGCGACAGGCAGCAGTTTTAAGGGAAAAGAAGGCTGAAAATCAAGGGTGACGAGTTTTAGAGAGACAAGAGCGATTCCTAGAGAGAGAAAGCGACAAATCAGAGTTCCCAAGTGCCATAGATAAATGAAAAGGAATAATTGGATAAAAGTAATGAAACTATTAAAGAAGAGAGAGGTAGCTACATAAATACAATGATAATTAATTTTTTTGTTTGTAAAAAAGTTGTTCATCTTGACAAATTGTGAATCCTTCAAGTGCTTATGTGGCAAAAAATTGCTTTTGAATTACCATAATATATAGTATATAGATAGATAGATATAGATATAGATTAATTTCTCTTATGCTAAAAATGGAGTTAAAAGTACATGTGACTTGCTTCCCGTATAACATGCATACTGAAGTCTAAGCATGAAACTGACTCATTTGCTTGTTGGATTTGAAAATGAAGGTTTTGGATTTTAAAAACCTTTGAATTTATTATGGATTTGTTGCATTATGGATTTTGAAGAGTACATTGTTTTTTTAGTTAATTTTTATCATGAATTTATGATGGATGTGTCTCACAACTTTGTCTTCCGTTATCAAATCCCAAATGAAATGTGGGATTTACTCCACGGATTTGGATCTAAAAACATGGTCCAAATCCATGGACCACACGAATTTGTGTTCCTTAACAAACAATGGATTTGGGGCTGAGATCAAGTGACTAAGGGGGGTCCCCTTAGTCACATGGCTAAGTGAATCTCAGCCACTCAACCTCATTAAAATCCAAGGGCTCTTATTAATCCAATTTAATGAAGGGCAATGTAGTAATTGCATGTTTATTTTTTATTTTTAATTATAAAATGAATAAAAAAATTAAGCTAGCGTTTCCGTCCCCGTCCCCTTGTGCCGCCTCCCGTCTCCGTTCCGGTTGTTAATTTTCGGTGGTGGTCATTTTCCGGCCAGGGGAATTCCTAGGCAATTGCTAGGCAGGAGAATTCTCCCCCCATGCGCCATTATTCCAGGGGAATTACCAGAGAGAGAGAGATTTTTGCCGAAGGAGGAAATTTTTTCGGTGACCAGAGGAGATTTTCCGGCAACCAGCGACGACGAAGAAGGATTTTCCGGCGACACTGCTAGAAATTTGTGATGTTTGTTGATCTATTTTGTAATGTTTGTATCGATTCGGTTTGTATTGTTTATCATTCTTGTTTGTCATTTTTTAGTGACATTTTGTACGGTTAGTATGCTTTGTATTATTTGTCGGTTTCTATTGTAATGTTATTTTGTAAGCTTTGTTATTTTTGTGCACTATGTTTATCATTTTTGTCAACCATGTTTGTAATATTTTTTCTGTCTAAAAAACAACCTGATTGACTTTTGGATGAAACTCCTCTATATAGGTTTGAAGCCTCCAAAATCAACCCGGGTGTTTTTCCAGTTTGTATGAATTTTTGGTCTAGTTTGTCATTTTTGTCCACCATGTTTGTAATGTTTGTATGTCTAAAAAACACCCGGTTGACTTTGGGAAGGAGCACCTCTATATAGGGATGGAGCTTTCAAAGTCAACCTGGTTGTTTTTTTTTTCTATGGTTTGTATTGTTTGTCGGTCTAGTTTGTATTTTTTGTACCGTTCATATGTTTGTAATGTAAGCAATTCACATTGATATGCTTATTTGTTGCCGCGGATGAGAGCCACAATTAAAAACTAACCTAATATTAGCTAACAAATACTATAAATGTACTTGTACTTTATTTGTGTCACCTTTACGAATGAGAAGCACAAACTTTTGTTCATTGACAAAGTATAATTTGAACAAAGAGTTTTTTTGGTTGCATAATATATGCACATGGTTTAAAAGAGTACAACACCTTTAGGGAAACTTGTAAATTGTGAAGTGATAAAAGGAAATGTCGAATGAGATAGACTAAGATACGTTAAATGAATCAGAGTCATATGACACTGTGGAATAAGTGTAATTCTTCAATGGTATAAGCTTGTGCAACATGGTTTGCATTTTCATATGTCCACATATTTCCTCTCTAGCTGTCAAGAAAAGGAGTTAACAATTCTTAAAAGGGAAGTAGCTTGTTATATGAAGTAATAGTTATGCTCGGGATGATCTTACAGATTTAATAAAGGGTACAGGTCTATACAATGAAAATTGGAATAAACTTAGAAGCCTCTGAGGTAGCAAAGTAAAAGTGCCATGCAACCAATGGAAGGAACTCATTTAAAACTGGAGTACAATTAGCATGTGTAATTTTGCCATCGAAGGAGGATGGTTAGGCATTACCTTTATCCTTTACCACACACTACAAAAAAATGGGTCTATGGCAAGGGTTTTTTATACCTATAGCAAGGGTTTTAACCCCTGCTACAAGTTGTAGCAAGGGTTTCGCCAACCCCTGCATGAACCCTCGCCTATGCTGCCCCTGCTATGTGTAGCAAGGGTTTTTAACAACCCACGGTGAAAGTCCCGTCCAAGGGTTATAGCAGGGGTTTAAAACCCCTGCTACATGTATCAAGGGTTTAAACCCCTGCTACAATTCAATATAAAATTCAATAGTAAGATGTTTGTATCAGGGGTTAAGCCCCCTGCTAAGTTCGTTGCTCTAACTAGCAAGGGTTAAAACCCTTGCTTAATTTGTCTCTAAATCAATTGCAACCAACTCAGAATGGTCACTAAAGAGAGGCTGATAAAATTTTTGAACAAGCTCAAAACTGTCGCTAAAAACCCATGAAAATTGGTGACTATAACTTGGTTGCAATACTCTGGTCACTATAGATAAATCAATAACCAAGCATTTTCTTGCAAATTTTTTTACAAAAATCATTCTTGCGTAGCCAAATCATACAGTACATTATATCCATGGTTCAATCCATCATATGATAGAATGATGTCTATGTTATGGGGCTCTCTTTCAGTAACTCTCTTGCCTTCAATCCATCATGAGCTGCAGCAACTGCTCGAATAGAAATCTAAATAGGCCTGCACGTTAAGATCGGAATAGGTAAACTAAGCTGGAAGTCTTACAAGCTTTGAATTAATAGGCATGAAATATTAATGAGAATGAGAGCACAGAATCAGGTAAATAACAAACCATCATTTTCAGAACATAGTCATATGAGTATCTTTGCTTACCCTGCTGCATATCAAAAGAAGAGAACCATGGAGTCAAACCTTAAAATGATTGTACTTAGAAGATTGTGCTCGATCATTGCAGTTAGAAGGTAAATAACAAACCTTATACTAGTGTATAGTTTGCTTGCACTTAGAAGATTGTGCTCGATCATTGCACGATCAAGGACTGCAAAGTTGTCCAACAATAGTGCTTTCTATTGAAGTACAACCAATAATAAATAAGCACATGGCTAATGGATGCAAGACCTGCCAAGTTGAAAAGTTCATCATCATTAACCTGATGTGGCTTCAGTTATTCAAAAAATGCATTGATTTTTCGGGTTTCCTCCGGATCCTTTCTAAGTACACCTGAAAGTACAACAAGGGATTGTTCATAGCAGGTTTAAGGCATTGTTCAGAGATGGTTCAGTGAAAAGATTTCAAGAAGAGGATGAGGCACTGAATCAGTAAACAGAGGCAGTCACTAGTGCCAAGTAAACACTAAGTTACTGCAGAAAGAGAAAGAGAGAGACAAAGGACCTTTTGTAGTATAGGACCTTTTGCACGTTACAGCAGCAGTCAAAGCTTGCTCCAATGCATCCTCATCAATATTTCTTCAATGAAGAAAGTGCAATCATTTTGAGGTTTGACTCCATGGTTTCTCGTCTTCTGGTATACAGGAGAAGGGAAGTAAAGACACTCATATGACTATGTTCTGAAAATTTTGCCTCAATACCAAATTAGAAATGGCCAAAGGTACTTGAACTAAACAATGTTAAGCAATGCTGTCTTTGAAATAACCTTCTCAATCTTTCCCAAATCAAGATGTTCCTGCAAATATTCTTGAACCACAACCCAACTCTAGTTGTCAGGAAGTCAGCCCTGCATTAAGATTTAAGTAATGCCCCTTCTTCACATTTGCTTGGTCACAGCATGGTGCCCATCCCATTTCTCTGCACAAACCATAACAAGAAGCTAAGCTAGCTAGCAGAAAAGACATCTTCCAGCTCATGGGTCAGTACTATTAATTACCTAAATTCTCTGTATGCTACTGCTTCTTACACAAGAAATAAAATAAAAAAGAAATGTCATGGCAGTACACCAGAAAGGATTTGTGTATAGTACCTGTATATCAATGACCAGAACAAAATGAAGCTTCTTCCCAGCTGCTGTATGTAATGGTAAAGGTATCGTCAGTGGTGGCATGCCTCTGTTTTAGTTGGTTTATTCTACTGCTTGACTGATGAAGGTTAAAAAATGTTCAAACATACGGAAGAGTAAACTCTGAACATATGAATTATCGACCATGAATGGTTCCTACCATGTGGAACTCAACATATGTTGGAATGCTAATAACTAAAACAAAATTAAGTTACCTAGCACATATTGGAAGGACATAGGCAGCAATCATGAGGAGGTAAGCTGAGTTCGTGATAAGGCAAGATCCTAAGCCTCCCGTACTCATCCAATGCACCCGGATTAGTGTCGATGAGAGAAGCATCCTAACAATCCATGACGGTTCAAGATCTTCTCAATGAAAAAGAGGTTTGCATCACTGATGATTCTCAATTCACATATGGGGAACAAACCACATTTCACAAAAAATAAATCAATCAAATTCTTCACCCACATCGCTAAAGGGGACTGGTTTTGGCAAGGAGGTGAAGAGTACCACCCAAGGGCATGAGCTGCTTTTATAGATTCAACGAAACAAGAACATAATGTAAAACCCTAGAATGTATAAGGGGTCAAGTAGATATCAAGGATAAGCATTAACGCAGACGAGTAGTGAGTGAAATTAAGGGTGGATGAAGCGGAATGAATTTATATTTGATTCGGGCTTGGAAGGGGAGGAGACGAAGAAGCAGAGCATCGTCCCTTTGTTGGTTGTCATCGACGTCGAGCACCAGAGTCAAAAAGACATCGGAGAGCCGATCCATGTTACTTCGTCTTCTGCTGCTTCGAATTTCTAGCTTCTGCTCTCACATGGAATGAATGTTCTATCTACCACAACAAGAAGTACTGATTCCGATCAAAATATGAAAGAGAGAGTGATAGTGAATAACCTAATTGAGAGAATCAAAATTGATTTCAATCGGAGATTGCAATCTCTATCAAATTTCACGAACAGCTACCAGAGAGTTCATTAACCGCCTTTCGAATCAGCTTCGTCGGAGAAGCTATCGGCAAAGCTCGCATGCTGGAGTTCGTTAACTGCCCGTCGAATCAGCTTCGTTGGAGACGCTATCGGCAAAGCTCGCGTGCTGGAGTTCGTTAACCGCCGTCGAATTAGCTTCGTCGGAGACGCTATCGGCAAAGCTCGCGTGCTGGAGTTCGTTAACCGCCGTCGAATTAGCTTCGTCGGAGACGCTATCGACAAAGCTCGAATGCTGACTAGAGATTTTGTGCTATGGAAGAAGAAGCATTAGAAGATGGAAGCGGGAACTGGCACTGGACTAGGGATTTGTTTCTTTACATTTGGGATTGGGATTGTTTTTGCCCCGTGAAAAGCTAGAAACAGTAAAACTAGATGAAATGATGGTTAATTACTTACTTAATCCTCTAGCAAGGGTTTCTCAACCCCTGAAATATACCGCATCTACGGGAGTTTCAGGAAACACTAACAAGGGTTACATGAACCCCTGCTACCAAACCCTTGCCATAGGCTCATTTTCTTGTAGTGACATCTCCATTCTTTATTTTCAATTTGTTTAGCCCTATTCACTTCCTATGATTTTCTATAATTTTGACAACAAAAAACGAAATTATGATAAAAGGAAGCTTCCATTTTCGAAGAATTCCTTAAAACTTTATACCAAAAACCTGTTTAGGTGGGATTTTTTGTGAATATGGAAACGGTAATTTCTTTAAAACCTGATATTGAAATGAATTTTTTTGTTTGAAATAAAACGAAACTCATTTTCAATGGTAACTTTTGAATAAGATAAGTAATAAGTAATGGTGAGTTGCTACTTTTCGAACTCCATGTAGTTGGTGCATGCTTTCATGTTTAAATTGAATTAAATGAAAACCTTCCATTTAGAATAAGATAAGTAATTAGTAAACAGATATTGAAAACTCGTGGAAGCAACATTTTGTCATTTTCGAAAATAGTTGGAAGCTACGACTTTCCGTTTCCAACCGAAAACAAAATGAAAAGTATACCGGTTTTCTTGTTTTTGTTGCCATATTTATGAAATGAAAACAGGAAACGAAAATGAAAGTGAGCCCGTGTGCATCTCATCAATTTTATCACAAAAACTAATCATAAAATCATAATTTACTATAGTACACAACAAAATAAATTTATTCGAATGGCATGAAGCTCGAGTTGAAGACAACATGCTCTACGATAATATTGCATCTCGTATGAAGCATCGTAAAGTTCTTCCTCATTTTCTGTAGTTTTAAGATGAAAGACATGAAAAAAGAAAAACAATGTTTTCTCGAACATGATAGTCTATGCCTTCCATCCACATGTAATTGGAGAGACGCTTTCTTAGCGGAGTAGTAATGGATGGAAGTAGGAATTGGGTTTGGCACATGTAATTATAGGAGTCGGTCTGAGCTGTACGTGGGCACCGGGCCGTGCCGCCCACGGGCTAGCACGACACAACACGGTTAGAGCACGACACGAGCACAGGCACGAAATAAATGGGTCAGCCCGGCACGAGCATGAATAATTTATGGGCCGTGCCAGGCCTAAACATCATGGGCACGGGCACGGGCACGACACGATATATATGTGGGCCGTGTCAGGCCTAATATTTTTCGAGACTTTATTGAGTATAAGAACGAACATGGCACGAAAATAATATTTATTTGATAGAAAATAAATATAAAAAGAATTATAGGTTTTCAAATATTACAAAACACAAGTAGAAAAATAATTATTGTTTGTTGTTAGAAGTGTCATCAAGATATATACGTAATTACTAACATAAGCAAAAGTGGACAAAGAATTAAACAAAGCTAAATCACACTCGCTATACTTCCAATTTTCTTTTCCACCTTATTTGTTACTTTTCTCGAACATTATCGATTAATATTATATTCCTCCGTCCAATTTTCACCTTTTTTTCATTCTCTCTTTGTTTTCGTCCTTTTCATTAAACATGAATACGAGCATGACATGAGCACGGATAGGCACGACATGATTCGAACCGTGCCCGGGCCTGGGCCGGGCCTAGCAAAGTTAACAAATGGGCTTGCATGGCACGACACGAAAACTGACGGGCCGTGCCAAACACGGCACGAAATAAATGGGCCCGAAGCGTGCCCGTGCCGTGCCGGCCCAAGCACGGCCCAACGCCCATATATAGTCTCAGCCACTCTAGAGTAGTTTATACAACTAAATTAATACCGAAATTAAAGGAGTAATAGTATTACGCTTATTAACCAAACCGATGTCTTTAGATTTTTATTTGCTAATTGTCATTAAAGTGGCTCTTAGCTTGCTTATTAAACTGTGATTAAGTCCCTTCATCCCAAAATCAACTCAAAATAACCTTAGTACCCCACACATTATTGTAAAAGACAGAGGGACATAATAATTAATCAGTTGCACTATCAAATTAGAGAGGTAAATTAAGGCTAAAGATATCTAATCTTACTACTATTCATTCAAATGAACCATGACTCGATTTCTATAGTTTTTTTAGTAGATGATGTACTAATCGTTATCGGTATATAAACGAACATAACACATGACAGGGATACTCATGTTATTTGGTGGATGGATGCTTCTTGGTCGGATGGTCATGACTAGGGATGTTCAAATGGTTACCATGGTTATAACCAAACCAAATAAGGCTAAATTTCATTAACCATAGAATACAATATCATAACCAAACCGTCCAAACTAATACAATAACCAAATTAAAGTTTAATTGATTTGGTTAATTGGTTAACCAGATTAACCAATATAAAATCACATTATCATTGACGATGACAATTTTCTGGTTAATGCAACAATTCGCAATTTATATAATGAATAAAACATAACAATCAACATGTAGTTATAGTTGACCATTAACAAAAATACATGCAACTAAGACAATTATCTTACGATTAGTATAGAAGTATTCACCTGACAAAAATTTATGACAATGGTATGGGTTAATGAATTGTTGTGTTTGTGTAAATTGACTTAGTCTCTTAGCAATTATCATAGGCTGGAAATGACCTTCTTTTCAAGTTTTCATCCATCATAATGTATGAAATTTATCTAAATTAGACGTCCATATGTTGTGGTCTACATTTTACATATACAAATATACACTATATGAGCAATATTGAGCTTTATATTTTATGAGTCTAAAAGGGATGAATGTTAACTCTTGAGTGGTTATGCAAAGTATTAAGTATGTGTATATAATATATGTTAGATACATGACTAATTACTTAACTGGTTAATTTGGTTTGACTGGTTAGGAGTGTCTGAAACCAAACCAAACCAAACCACCTAAACCAAACAAGCTAAAAACTTTAACCAAACCAAACCAATTATCCAAATTAACCAAACCAAATTATCCAAATAGTACTTGTTAAAACGGTTACCATGGTAACCAAACCGTTTGAACACCCCTAGTCATGACTCAATAATGGTGGGAGGAAGATGCTGGAAAGTAGAATGAGATAGAACAACCTTGCCTTAGTCATGCATAAAAAAAAAAAAAACGTGGAGTAAAACAAACACAACCAAGAAGTATTGAACGGAGTGCAAGGCTTGCAGGAGGAAGGCGCGTGCCGGAGGGAGGCGCGTTGAAAATTGAACGAAGAGGAAAATGGCGTTGGGGAAAAATAATTTCAAGACTTCCTATAGTGCCCTTCCGGGAAAGGCTCCGAGGGCTGCAAATTTTAAATGGAAGAATTCAGAACCTTTAAAACGTACTAGCTTATCACCCGCCCCGTTGGCCGGATTACTGTATGTTACCCATTTGTGGAATGAGAGAGAAAGCAAGTGAGAGCGAAGGGATTGAGATTTCACTTGATTAGGACCGACCCACTAATCCGATTCTTCCCGACCCGCCCCAACCTAAAGGGTTAGAAAGAGTCAATAAGAAAATACGAACGGGGAGGATTAGTCATATATCTTGACTCTTCAGAAGTGGGTCAAACAGGATCAAGGTTGAGTGAGCGCAATTTTTAGCGCTAAGCAGAGTTCTGGGTTGAACAACTTTACTTAGGCCTAGAAATTGGTGCTGATGTAGACTGCAGTTTTTATTATACCATCATCAATCATCATTGAATTAGTCCTGGGCATCCCTCCCCGTTGTCGGTCTGAATTCTAATGATGGCTTCATTCCTTGCACCAGCCATATCAGCGAGTTGTCATCTCGAGCATGATTTGCCTATGTACAAATGATACAATTAGAGTATGAAATTGAATTCAAAGAAAAGGAAAAGAGAATTCTATCACATGCCAATAAATACACACATAATAGTTGAAGCTAAGTGAAAGTCATTACTCGCACATCAATTCTCAAAAATTACAAACTAAACAATGACTAGAATGACACTGAAACTACCAAGAATCATGGATTAAACAACTTGTCAAATTAAATAATCCTTATACTGAAACTACCTTCTAACTTGAAATAAGACATGATCATAGTTCATAGCTCTCTTCTCACTATGAATTGGTTGCAGCTCGTCCTTATCACTGCCTCCCAAGCTCAATTCAAACAGAATAGAGACCGTTATGTAAGATAACCATATCCTTACTGATCATAATTCCTTTCTTCACTCCATTTTTTTTCGGAGAAAAGAGTTATCCCCCTCTCCTGCATTTCCCTTTCCCCCTCTCTTCTCCCTCTTCTTCACAACCGATCCCTAAACCAGCAACAACAACACAAAAATAGCCTTCGCCTCTGCCATCTCCATCTACTGAACGCGTTGGTGGCAAGACAGGACTGCAGAAGCAAAATTTTCTAAAATCAAACTAAATTTTTTGAAGGAGACTCAACCACGAAAAAAGAGTAAAGCAACAATGCTAATAGTTCAGATGGTTGGTTTTGATGTTATACGTTGCTTTTGTTCTGGTCTCCAGTATATCAACTGCAACAGAGATGTTTCCTCCAATCATCTTTAGTGCACGATTTAGAAGCAAGTCCTCCTGATTGTGTCAAACGGAAACATTCATGGGTTCTTAACTCCCCTGTTAGTGTAAATGCAGCAGCAGCAAAGAAGTTTGACAACACAGCAAGCACCCAGGCAAAATGATACAATGCAGTAGGTGATATCTGTCTCGAAGGTTTTGAGTTACTAAAATTCATGTTAAAAAAAACATGAATTAAAATGGATTATTCTATTAAGCAAACATCCCCTCTAATCATACAAAGATCAGATATCCAATTCACAAACAATTAAGCCATAAAAAATCATCACACATCCATCACCTTTGATTGCCTAAATTTGGGTTTTCGCAAATTTATGGACTCTTAAGGGTAACGTTCATGGGTAGTCTGTTTCATAAATCTAGAGAGCACAGTAAGCAGCCAC